TCGCACATGCGCGGAACCGCCGCTGGCTGATCTATCGCTCTGATCCCGACCTGGTTTACAGTCAGGGCGGGATGTAAATGTAAAATTTTCTTTGTCTAATATAAATCACTGAAAAAAGGTTCATTTGTAGTTCTAAACATATTCAGGGTGTTTTTTTACTCAGTTTTTGTCTCTCCCACGATGTTATTCCTCTCTCCTACAGCAGCCATTACAATTACATGCATATGGACAATTATGCAAATTAGGCGATGACGTCATTTAGCGAGTTCTAGCGACTTTTAGGACAGCCAGTAGCTACTTTTCTTACTGAGGAGTTGGCAACAGTGCCCTCTTTCCCTCACTTTGCTGTCTTGCGATGCTGAGGGTGAGTGTGTGGAAAAACGCTGTTGTACTATTTTATTGTTTTCTGTGGAAAATTGAACCATTTACATAGTAACCTTGATGTACATTTACCATAAGTGCTGTGGTGTTACCCAGCTGGTTTTATGTTGTTTTGACCGCTATTTTAGTAGGGTTTTTTTTATGTTTTCATGAAACTTTCTTGGCGCTATTTGTGCTGTAGGCTGCCATCTTGTGCCCGGTGACTAACATAGCGCTGCAGAGATTTAGCATTGATTTCCAAGTGTAAATCTCTCCATTTTGTATGTTTAGGGAGCAGATAGATGCAGGAGAGAGGCCAGAAGACAATTAATGTGTGAATATTGTCCTTTGCAGGTATGTGGTTTTCCTCTAAGCTGTGTAATTTTTTTTTGATTGTGTTTCACTCAAACCCCTTTGCACTTTTTTATTTTGACCACAAGGTGGCACTGTTGTTCAAACTACAATGTTTTTCATAGTTTAAGTTTGGAAAGAAAAACATGTTTCCTGCTGTTTTAATAGCTCTTGCTCAGAAATGTAGTGTATCAGGAAAACTGACCACGTCCGTTACACATACATATATGGTAACTGTATGGCACATTTGTCATGGGAGACTAAAGGTCAACTGCGCTGCTTCCCGTAAGGAACATTGAGAGGTTCCTGCTCCCTTTTGTAAAGATTCACGGGTGGTTTACTGTGAAGAGTAACCCGACTGGTGTCAGTTTTGTTATTATGCAGAGAATTTACGTTGAGAAAGCTACATGAAGAAACTAAAGGAATGTTATCAGTTTGTTCTGCACGGACAGAACTTCCTGAAACTGGAGAAAGGAATGACCACTTTTGGTTAGGAGGATGGCTTTGTATCTCATTATGTTAGCAGAGATGAGCTAATATTATGAATATGAATGAGAATGTCTTACAGGATTTAAAATGAGGAGTTTGGGTGGACAACAACAGAGTTTCTATTTTCGGCTGAACCTCTCAAGCTACTGCAGAAGCTTGATCTGATACTGGCTTACTAAAATAAAGTTCTCTTGGTCCAAACAAGCTTGTATCAGCGGAGTCTTTCCTTCACCATCATCTCACCATCTTTTATCCTTGCAAAAAGAAAGGCCTGATAAACTACACTCTCAATGGGTCTGTCATTAGTTTAGCAGTTATTTAGTCATGAACCAAAGCATTAATTAAATCAATTTTTGACCTGATGATGGCGCTAAATGAAAATTTAATCACAAAAGTTGTGTTAAAGTTATTCAACCTAGTAAGTTATTGCTGTAAAGTTCTTACAACACTTCATCCCAGCCCCCTGACACCTAACACCCAACCCAGATCAAAATCCTTTACAGAGAGACACATACAGGAAACACATGACACAAACAGGAAATAAAACTCAGTCTTTAAGTTCATACCTGAGAGTAGAGAGCATAGATGGCCATGAGGGTCAAAGGCAGGCCGATACTTAAGATTACGCATGTCACCACATTTATGATGAATTCAGCTTCTGCAGCGTGACCAAAGGTGTCAAACGAGGGAAAGACACTGTAATAGTCATAGAAGTCACTGTAATAGTCATAGAGGTCACTGTAATAGTCACCGAAATAGTCATGGAAGTCACTGAAATTAAAGTGGTCAAAGATGATGTTGCTGTAGTAGTCGCTGTTGTCCTGTGAAGTGTTGTTAATGTGTAAATCTTCCATTCTTCAGAGTGAAACCTGTAGTTGAAGAGATCAGGTTATAGAAAGGCAGCATGTTGTTTAATCTCTGCCTGACATTGGTCAGTGACATCACCAAAGCTGTGAGCTGCAACCACACGCACGCATGCGTGCGCGCACACACGCGCACACTTTATATTAATGTACATTTGTTTAGGACGTGTTGTGTCTTCTGTACTCGATGCCTCACTACTTGTTGAATGATCCTCTGCCCTCTGATTAAGGATGAGGAGGGTTACATGACAGATGAATTCACTTTATGAACCATCTGTATTATCTTTTGTGTACAGATGCTGCCTCTGACTTGTGACGTCTACCAACATTTATTATGAATATGTTTCAGGGACCCTTTATTGCATGTCATGTCCACCAGATGTCACCAGACACTTTTCACCGGGACACATGCCTTGGTAAACATACGCTGTACCCCTGTAAAAAATCCCAATTAAATTTCATAAATAAGCCCATTTTTGTTATTACTGAATATCCGTATTCATTACTGAATATCCGTAGGGCTACGCTACGACAATAGCATGGGCACAAACCACGGAGTAAGGCCGGCACTGCATATCAAAGAGTGGAGAGGCTGCACTTGTAGGCATTGGGTGCGTCTGTGCATATTCAGTGAATGGAGCGCACATGAAGCCTAGTGTTGACAGCTGCTCACACATGTCAAGTAAAGCTGAGGGGTAGTATATAATACCACTACACACTGATGGATTACCGTCATCATGGACATAAGGAAATTCTTTTTGCAGAACAGAGGAGGCAGGGACAGACAGGGAAGCAGCAAGGAGAGATGAGAATGAGGGAAGATCATCTGGTGAAAAGTCTAGTGGTTCAAACTGTCTGTTGTGTTGATGCCAAAAACATCAATCTCGCAAATCGCGACCCCAAATTAAACTATGGCTAGTTTAGGTTCACTTTAGATACAGTCGGAAATGCCATTTTATTGGCAAAGGGAAAGACACCTAGCATAAGCCTACTGTCCATTAGGGCTGTCATGTGTTTGCTTGCTCGTGCACTGCGCCAGACGTTTGTGGAAATTGGACCAGGTGGGCTGTGGGCGGGCTAGTTTAAAAAGCTAGCCATCAGGGGAATACCTTTTCAGACCATATCAGGTACTCTTAATTTAAGATTTTGACTTTTCTGGGTAATATTCCCTCTTGTAGAAGAATTTCTTTATTACATTTATTGTGCTACAGTAAGACTGAAAAGTTCAGTAGCTGGACTGAAATGTTATTATTTGCATATACGTTCTTTATTTTGTACCTGTTGATTTGTAAGATTGTAAGACTGTGTAAATCATTTATTTTGGTAATATTCCCTCTTGTAGAAGGCTTACTTGATTATGTTTGGTGTGCTACAGAAGGAGGAATTGAAAGGTTCAGTGGCTGAGCTCCAGTGTTTTAATTTGCTTACAGATAAAGCTCTGTTAAACCTGTTGAGGTTCATGCAAATATAATCAAATGTTCTCATACATCCAGTACAGGCTGACTTTCTGTACGTCATACATCTTACCATAGCGCTTCTGCAAGTTTTGTATGTTTGAGTGGCATTTATATTTAGTAAGTATTGTAAATCTTATGTGTGTTTGTGTGTGTGGAAGAGGGGAGTCGGCTTCTGACTGTGCCCCTGCATAGCTGTGTGCCTAGCAACGCCCCTGATGTCCACCTCTCTCTGTCCTTATGTCCTGTCTGTCTCTGCTGTCTCCTCCCAATAAATGTTCTTATTTTGCACTTAAAGAAGCAACAGACAGCATCTTTTCCTAAATATATCATGATGAAAATAATGTGGGTTGCACAGGGTAGTGTCCACAGTAAAATCAGACTATCAGTGTTTACATAGGTTACTGTGCAATCTTTGCAATAAGCTTCTGCCACCGGTGCTGAAATTTCATGGAAAAAATCTGCTTTACGGCAGGAAACGCGTCGTGTATTGTGAAACTGGTCGGTCAGCCAATCAGGGACTGGAGCTGGTCCTTATGAGGAGTTGGGCATGAGATAGTTGA